CAATGGACTGTCTCCTCCTAATCGTCCAATCTGGTTGTATTCGCTTTCGCCATGCTGAAAAACTGCGCGTTCAGCAGGTGATGGGGGCTTTGTCAGAGAAATAAAAGTACAAAGAAGACTTCCCAACCCCAAGGATAGAACTAATTAATAACTTACACGAGTGAGGTAGATACTACGTGGTAGCAGATGGATATTCATAAGAAAATACACAACCCTACTTTGAATATGACCTTTCACATTGTGGACGTAGAACGATTTTCCAGCATTTATCACCTTAAATTGCTCAATTAAGATAACAACAAAAATTTGCTCTGCTAGCACAGACAGCTGAACAAGCAGTTTCCAACGATTCCGCGCCTTCACGGATGATAACACGCTTAAATGTCACGCGCAATTAAGTCAGATAATTTTCGGCAGATGACGCATATAGGGAAGGGATGCGAACAGCCTTAGAGGGGCATTCAAAGGACTCATTGGACCCCTCAAATATAGATGATTACGCCGCTTGGCTTGGGAGGGGGAGGGGGAGGAGGAGGGAACATTGCGCCTTCGGTAAGTTCTCTTATTGGTTCATGTCAGCTATTCCACTTCGGTCAGACCTGAAAACCCTGCGGAGCTGTCGGCGAACCACTTTATTGATAGGAATATCAGGCTTTTTTTCAAGGTGGCTTGTAGAAGCTAGCTCAAATCCGTTCAGTACCCCCACCAAGCCAAACAGCGCCGATGAGGACTTTCTGAGCCAAAAGGGGCACCTTCGCAAATGGTAGACCGATTCAAGCGATGATACCTTTATTTGGATGACTAGGTCCCCAGTTTAGCACAATGAACCCCTTAAATGCCCTCACCTCAAGGTTGTTAAAGCCGAGGGACCTATGTAAGGTACTAAGTTGCTAACCTTGATAAAAGATAATTCGTCGTCAGTGTCCTCATCTATCGGTTCATATTGTAGTCTATAGTTCTCAATCCTTTTGACAAAGTCCTCTTTAGCTTGTTCTTGCGTCATTTTACCTTTGTAATCAGGAGAGTTGATCTTGACTTCCTAAAAGAAGTGAAGTGAATTTATGTGTAAGAAAATGAACAGCCTCTAATGCATAAAGTTGCGCTTACTAGTCGTCGTACAGAAGAAACCCGTACAAATATGAAAACGTTTGCAAAAGGGACATCTAAACTTCATTAAATTCTTCACCATTAGTCTGTGCGAACAAAATCACAGGGTTCCTAAGCTTCATCAACCAACATACTCTTCAGCACCTCTGTATCCTTTCCTCCAATCAATGCTCAGACTTAGTGAACACCATGCGCTATCCGCGAGACTATTCTTCGGCAACTCTGGTCGTCTGCGCTCTAGGTGTACACCTTTTTCGGGGATATGGAGGCGCCACCAGCTACCCGCTATTTGTTATCTAAATGAAACACTTCTGGACGAAGGGGAGGCACTTAAAACATGGAAGTTTTACTCGTACAATACACCACGGAATTGGTTTAGACATAATGTTGCGCACTCCAATTTCGTTTTCTTAAGCGCTTGTCTCTCTAAATAGCGAGGACCTCTCTACTGGTATGGCGATGCTACTTCTCCCGACTGAATGCCTGGTTGAACGGTTGCCGAATACCTTGAGTCCTCATGCAGCATGTCGCGCCTATTTGGGGCGTCTCCTCCGCTGCATTATAATGTTGAGCTCCTGAGCTTTCATATACTCAAATCATAAGACTTGAGAACAATAAGAGATGTAGGGAATATTTTTAAAGAAGAGAGGGGTCATCCTCCGATTTCTATGACTCAGCTGATAGACCGTAATGCTTGAACAATACTTATGGAATTGACATGAAAAGAAAAATTACTCAATTGACTCAAGAACGATAATAATCACAGAAGGCGAGGTTACTTACCGTAATGTTCGAATTGATGATGTCCGGATCATCGCAGACACTTTCAACGAAAAACACACGGAAGCTTTGGGATAGCTCTGGGCGCTGGCCATACTCGATGAGGAAACGTCGGCGAGCACGTGTCGTGTTCGTAGCGTCCAGTATCTGAAACAGGCGTTTCCCAACAGAACTCCCGTATTGGTAAAACTATTACAGAGATCGGCTGAAAGGAGGCTAATGACTCACCGCCACTTCTCCCTCACAGGCATCTAGGTACCGTGCCATGTCTTCTATAGCCAAACGAGCGCATTCGCTATAAGGAGAAACATTAATTAATTCATCGAGACAAGGATGCTGGCAGAAACCAGTTGTTTCCTCACTCTCGAATCTGCGTGCCTATTACGTT